TCGGGCCTGGCCGCGCAGCCGCTGCCGGAGCTGCCGGAGCCCCCGGAGGCCGCGGCCACGGAGACCGCGGCCGAGCCCGATGCTTCCGAGAAGCCGGAGGAGGAGGAGGCCACGGCCGAGTCAGGTGGGGTAAATGGTGGCGAAGAGCAGGGCACCGGCAAGGCGGAGGAAGACGAGCCGGAGGAGCGGAGCGGGGACGAGACGCCGGTATCCGAGGCGCAGGGTGACAAGGCCGCAGAGGAACAGGGTGAGGAGCTGGCAGCGGAGCCCGGCTCCAACCTGCTGGGTGCGCCCCTGTCCCAGCACCGAGCCCTGCACCGCAGGGTCTGATCGATCTCTTGCTCTCACTTGCCCGAAAGTGCCTCATTCCTACCATTTGGTGGGGTTCCCCAGGGGAGGTGGCTTTCATTCTCTACCCACCTTTCTAGGAGGCTTGGCTGCCTCCGGTGGCCCCACTCTCTGCAGGAGGGAGATTCCCGCTTAACTTAGTTAGTTGGTGGTAGTGGATGGAAGTGAGCAGTTGTGCGTGCGAACTACTCGTGAGCTACCTGTGGAACAGCCTCCCACTGTGCTGGTTATCTTTTCCTAAACCAAGAATGCATAAAGAAATTGTTGATTCCAGTGACAGCCAGACCAGACCCACTTTTGGAGGCTTTGGCCTTTGGGCTACCTGACTTGACTTTTTTCGCCATAAAAATATTAAGCAGTAAACTAAATTCGTCAAAGTTCGCTTCATCAAAAACATATTGCTAGAGTTTGAGCCACAGAGAATTTGACGATCTAACCTTGCTCCCGTGTTAGCAGCAGGGGACAGCCTGTGGTGTAACAGTGTCGAGTTTAATAGTTAACTAGTAAAGAGAAAGTCTGCATTTAGAATAAGTCAGATAATTTGGCTAGGAGTTATACCTTGCTTGTATTCTTATGATTGAAATGAATCTTTCCACTGAGTTGATGGGTGGGCACATTGTAAATTTGCTGTACCGTAGCTGGCCTTTTATATTTCAGGTCTCTGATTAATTGAAATGATTGAGGTCCGTTTAGCAACCTTGTGAAAGAGAGAAGAGTCGCCCCAGGGAGTTAGTAACCTTTCTCTCTTTGAAGTGATTGGATGGGTAGAGCTGATCCATAACTGTCAGAGTAAGGAGGAAAAGGAAACCTGCTTCCAAGGCTTACTATGAAGTGAGTTGCCTTAGTTCTTTGTATAATACATTTTTCAGGCTGCTACTTAGTATCGTGGTATAATTGGAAGCCATTCTACAGTAGTCACATGCAACTTGAAGATTGTTTGTCCTATGTCCTGGAACAGAAATCCCATTACATAACCTTTGACTTTATGTGTATCCCAAATAGCAGATAAAAAAGGTTGAAGGATAAAAAAACTGCCTTAACTCATTATTTAAAACCTCAGTATTACAAACTACGAAAGCTTCAGGAAAAAGTTTTTTTCCTTTTGTAAAGAATGTTGCTAAATATATGACAACACCTTTCTGCCCCAAATTTTGTGCAGTAAAGATGCAGCATTATTTATGGGTTTCTTGTGACTTAATGGTTTGCTCTTGTAACTTTCAGTAAAATCCATGATAAAAATACAACTCTGTATCGTGCACCAGAGTCCACCTGCAAAATAAATAAAGCTGTGGGTCGCTCTGCATTTTAAAGCTGGCAAGGCAAACTCTTAAAAAAAAAAAAATCGAGGCTTCTGCATCAGGAAGCTGTGGGAAAGTGTTGGGAAATATGTTTTGTGTCTAAAACTTAAATCCAGATCTGACAATCAAGAATCAAAATTGAATTGACCTGTGAAGTTAAAAATAAAAAAAAGATTTAGGGAATATATTTTTTTATGTTGTGTTGGGAAAATCTGCAAGTTTGACCTTATTTAAGCAAGTAAATTTAGAATGCAAAAATTGTCCAATTTTTATCTACTGTTTGTAATTAGCCCATAGTGTTCTTCTCCCCCCCAACCCCCCAAATAAAATCCCAGCCAATGACAGGATGGCGATCTTTGGAAATAAAACGTTCTGTGGATGCAGGGGAGTAACTTGGCTATTTCGATTACAGAGCTACTCAGATTCCCCTTTAGTTTCTGTTGGTTCTGAGCTTATGCTGCAGTCCAGTGTGAAAACTGCTGATTTTCTTTCCCTCCTTTTTTAGGAGATGACCAAGATAGTGAAAAATCAAAACCAGCAGGCTCAGATGGTGAGCGGCGGGGGGTAAAGAGACAGCGGGATGAGAAGGATGAACATGGCCGAGCTTACTATGAATTCCGAGAGGAGGCTTACCACAGCCGGTGAGGGAAACAGTCCCTTTCATTGAAGGGAGTGTCTGCTCTGATTTTGGTATACCTGGTGTTGATTGGAGAGTCTGCAAAGAGGGGTGGATTAAAAATGGAATAGGTTTTGATAGGTGTAAGTTGTAGATTGAATCGACCCTGGAAGCTCCCGTTGCCCTTTACTTACTTGCTGAAAGAACCTGTCTGCTGGAATTACATATTCGCTGATAGTTAAAATGGATAAGATGTCATGCAGACACCCCTGGAAGAAGAGGCTTCGGTTATATTGTATTTGCTTTTCTCTTCTTGTGTAGCTCAAAGTCTCCACCACCCCCTGAAGAAGAGGCAAAAGATGAGGAAGAGGATCAAACTCTTGTGAACCTGGACACGTGTATGTATAAGACAGACAGGTTGGGGTTTTAACCAATTGGAAGTGATTTTGGAGATTAAAACTTCACAACCTGCAACAGTTAAGAGATGTAGCACATGGGAGACTTTGTATTCATTCTTGAATACTGGGTATATTTGTGTCTGTTGGTGGCTTTCAAGTGTCCGGCTTTGGAGTAAACAGATCATTTCTTTCTTAACAGATACCTCTGATCTCCATTTCCAAGTGAGCAAAGACCGCTATGGAGGGCAGCCACTTTTCTCGGAGAAGTTCCCCACCCTGTGGTCTGGGGCAAGGAGTACCTATGGAGTGACAAAGGGAAAAGTCTGCTTTGAGGCCAAGGTAGCATGCACAGCTCATAAGACCATTCATTGATTAAATTATTCATTTTACAACTATGTGCCAAACTGTTGCCCACCAGTATTTTATTAGAGTAGAAAAAGGCACCATGCTTTAATAACAAGTTGACCTCCCGTAACCAAGAAATTTCCCCACGGCATTGGTTTAAGTTCATTGATAATTGTTGTTCTAATGTTGAGTTTTGATAGTTGTCCATTTCAATTTATGTGAAAGTCTTGTCTTCTTTGCTTCTGAGTTGAGCAGAGTATCTTAGAGTTCCTTTTCTGATTTGGCCAGGTAACCCAGAATCTCCCAATGAAAGAAGGCTGCACAGAAGTTTCTCTCCTTCGAGTTGGATGGTCTGTTGATTTTTCTCATCCACAGCTTGGTAAAGTTATTTAACTTCAATCATTAGTGTTTGCTACCATATTGCTTACTCCATAGGAATTTGGGGTATAGGTGACTAATTTGTTGACTGTTGTAGGTGAGGATGAATTCTCTTATGGTTTTGATGGACGAGGACTCAAGGCAGAGAACGGGCAGTTTGAGGAATTTGGCCAGACTTTTGGGGAAAATGATGTCATTGGCTGCTTTGCTGTAAGTGCCCCTAAAAGTTGTGGATTTGTAGCAAAAATGGGTAGAGGGCACTGAGAATTCAGTTTGCTTCTCATCAGCTGCTACCTTTTATGCATTTGATACATTACTCGCTTAGTTCGTTGTGCAGTAGCCTATGAGGCTTTTTTTTTTAAAGGGGT